TCATTTATGGTTCTTAAGTCCTGGAGGAAATTCCATCTACCACTGGGTTGTTTTACAACTCAGAAGTTCGAATGCAAGGTAGAGGTAAAGTAAGGAACTGCTTATGAGTTTCTCCATCCATTCCAACAACTAAGAAATTGTGAGAAGAGTTGGGACCTCAGAGGTCCAGGAGAAAATGAATATACTTACCAGTAATGTTAATGCTCACCCACAGCTCTTCTGGGAGGGTCTAAATCATTGAAGCATCATTTCTTTTTTTTTAAAAATTTTTTCTTTACCATCATTGCTCTCTAAGTGTGCACTGTCAAATCGGATCTGACTGATACAAGAGGCGATTGTTCCCTCTTTTTCAGCAGAGCATCTGGCAGACCCGAACTGTGCACCTCTGGGATTGCAGCGCAGCCTTCCACCACCAGGCCACCAGAGCTCGCCCCCTCTCATTTCTTTGGGATATATTCCCAGTAGTGAAATTGCTGGGTCAGATGGTATTTCTATTTCCTACTTTTTGAGGAAGCACCAGACTGTCTTCCACAGCGGTTGTACTATTTTACATTTCCACCAGCAATGAATAAGAGTTCCAATCTCTGCACAACCTTTCCAGCATTTGTTGTTTGCTGTCCTGTTGAATTTTGCTATTGTTGCTGTGGTGACATGAGCACTCATAGTTGTTTTGATCATACATATAATTCTTAAAAAAGCATAGGTTCTCAAGGTTGACTTAAGAAACAAACAAAATAACAATAAAACAGCCCACAACAAAAATAAAACAACAACCCAGTTAAGCTAAACTATGGTACACCATTAAGAAAACTTCAAGAGGGCTCTGGTGGCCTAGGGGCAAGAAACTGCACTGCAATCCCAAAGGTACATGGTTTGAATCCACCAGATGTTCTGCTGAAAAAGGTCCACCAGATGTTCTGCTGAAAAAAGGCAAGGCAATCTATTCGTGTGCCACTCAGATCTGACTTGATGGTGCACACACACACACAAATAATAAAATTCAAAAATTTTTAAAATTTAATTAAAATAAAAGGATAACTTCAATAGGGAGCTCTGGTGGCCTAGTGGCAAGAAGCTGCACTACAATCCCAGAGGTATGCAGTTCGAATCCACCAGATGCTCTGCTGGAGAAGGAAGGGATATCTCCTGTACCAATCAGATCTGGTTTAACGGTACACACACAAAAAAAAATAAAAAAGGAAAACTTCAAGCAATGTTTTTAGTTTAAAGTTTATCTCAGGATGATAGTTCCAAGGTCTTATTTACCCTCCAAAGCTCCAGAGAGTCTACAGAGTTCATGGCCCTGTGAAATTCTGTCCTACATTTCTCTCTTTTGAGCAGAATTCTTCTCCAACATCTTTGGTCAAAATGGTCAATAATGGCAGCTGGGCACCATTCATTATTTTCCAGTCTCATGGTAAAGGAGGCAGTTGCTCGTGGAACCAATTAATCACACAGTCTATACCTTTCTCTTCTTTGGGATTCTCCTTCTCTGGCATAGAAGGTGAATAGAAGAATTACTGTGCCTTGGATGGCACTTAAAAAAATAAAAAATAATAAAGGGCAAATACGAATTATCTATACACTACAAGGCCTTAACCTGGGGACTTAACTGTGATGGTTGTGTAAAATGTTTCTGTTTCAACACCTGGGTACCTGTGGATGAACCTGACTCAGCAGACAGGAACAGCTGGCCAGTCACTGTCACAGCTTTCCTGCGGCCCAACATTGCTGACTATGACTAGATCTTTAGATGCTCATTTTTACAGGCTTTTGGGTTTTGTTGTCTTGGATCAATCCTAGATATTTAACAGTTAAAACTTCTTCAATGCAATGCTTTTCAAGAAGTGTCTAAAATATTTAGCACCCTGCTTGACAAGGGATTGGTCACAATAAAAGTAATTTTTCCTTGGGGGGGAGTGGGAAATAAAAGAAGAAGGACTAATCTGGAGTGTTTGTGAAGCCGTTACAGTAAATCTTCAAACCACAGAATAAAATCCTGTATTTATCTGGTTGTGCATCAGCAGCTTGAGTTCAGATTTTATAGGTGTTCATTTTATTGATGACGCCAATTACGGTAGTCACCGGCTCCGGCTCCTCGTGTTTTCAGGGACTCAAGTCTGCCTTCAAGCACTGAGGTTCTTTTCGACCGTCTGGACAGTGACCACCTCTCATGACTTAATGAGTGTGGATTGTGAGAATCTGTGAACCTTAAATAATCACTCAGTCTTCTTTCTCAGTACCCTTTTTATCCCACAAGGCTGCAGGGAGACTGTCATAAAGAAATAGATCAAGATAACCTCACCATATTCAGTCCTCAAAAATACCCTTAGGGCCATCCCCTTTTCCTTATGAATCAGGGAGAAGTCTCTCTCAGGGAGGAGTGATAGGGAATGGCAAAGGACACACTGACAAAGGAGATTTACCAGAACTGGCTTTGACAAGCACTGTGGCAATTGGACAATTAAAACAGACGTGGGGTGGGGGGAAGAAGAACGAACTGGGGAGGAGGGTAGAGAAAACAGTGCAACAACGAATGAATGAAAACTCAAAATCTCTGTAAATGTTCATTAAAACTAATAAAATTTTAAAAAATACCCTTAGGGGCAAAATACCCTTAGGGGTAAACAGGCAAGATTCTCTATTTACATCACTTCCAAGACCTCCATGAGATATCACTAAACCTGAGCCTTAGGCGCCTTAATGGAATGAAATTGCTCTGCTAACTCAAAGGTGCACGGTTCCAATACACCAGCCCCCCCCGTGGAAGAAAGATGGGCAGTCTCCTGAGGCACGCTTCTGAAAACCTCTGGAAGGTCAGCTATAGAACCCAGTGACCACGAAACTAGGCGCCGAGCCTCCTTCTCCACCACTGCTCTGTGTCCTAACTCTCAGCCCCCTCCTCCCTCAGACTTAAGAGTGGGGGTCCCCAGTACCCTTCTTCCTCAGACTCCGGAGTCCCAGCCCAGCCTCCATTTCCCCTCCAGACCCACAAATCCCACGCCCCCCCGCCCTGAGAGTACAGACTCCAGCCCTCTCCTCTCTTAACTCAAAGGCTCTGGGACCCCAGCCTCGTCCTTTCCTAGACTCAGAAGTCTGGGTCCCCAACTTCCCCTTCTCTTGGTGGCCCAAGCGTCCTCATTTGGAGTTTCCATTTGCCACTAGTTAGAACCCCTCTCTCCTAAAGCAGAAATCCTGCCCAAACTGTCACGATCGGACCCTCTTCCCGGCTGTCCGGCGCCCGGGCCCGCCCCCCCTCCGGTCCCTCCCCCTTTTCCCAAACAAAGCTCCAGGCAACTTTCTCCCCGGCAGTGCCCCGCCCGCGGCTGCCCAGGCAGGGAGGGAGAAGGCGCCGGCCGGAGCCGGGAGTCCAGCTTTGGCGTGTGTGAGTTGGGGGCGAGGAGTTCGCACGGGGGAGTTGGGGCGTGTGGTGGTGGGACCGGCCCTGCCTCGCTGGCCGCCAGCTTTGTGCGCGGGGGGCGCGAATGGCACTGTAGAAGTGGAACTTTCCTCGGAGTTAGGGTGTCTGGATGAGGCTGAATTGGGGAGATGTGCGGTGAGTTGGGGAGGACTGGGGACCTCGTGGGAGTGGAGCGGGGGAGAGTGTGGGCTTCCGGGGTTGTGCCACTTGGGAGGGTGTTAAGAAGGGCCCCGTGTGCGTGTGTGACCGAATGCATTTGCGCGTGTGCTCTTTGGCGCAGGGGAGGCTTCCAGGGTGTCCGAGGGGGACTTTGGAGAGTTCTGGAAATCCATCTAGTACCTTTGGAGGTTTAAGCACTGGGGCAGGAAATTAGGGGGACCTTCCTCACCCGGCGCCTCCATCCCTTTGTCTGGCCACATGGGGGAGGGCTGAGTGGGAGTTTTGGTTTTGGAGGGTCCTGAGGACCCTTGCGCCATTGAGTCCGGCTCGGGGGTCTTTGTCTGCCTGGACACAGGCTCCTGGGTCTGAGGGAGGAGGGATTATTGGGGGGGGTGTCTCGGACTCCTGGGTCTGAAGGAGGAGTGGGCTGGGGCCCAGGTCCCTGGGATCGAGAAGGGGCTGGGGGCCAGAACTCTTGCGCGTAAAGTGGAGGGGCTCAGGGCCTGGACGCTGGGGTCCTGGGAAAGTCGAGGTGAACAAGAAGCCGCAAGGGAGGCGGGATCAGACTGTATTGGAAAAAGTTTTTCCCGGTCCCGGCCTCCTCCGGAAAATCACTGGGCACTCGTTGGAGCGGAGCCACGGCGCTGGGGGAGGGGAGCGGGGGGCGGGCCGGGGACCGCAGGGGGAGGCCCCTCTCCGGCGAGCCCCTCCTCTGATGGGGGTTGTGGGAAGCTGGGGGAGGGGACGCCTGGGCCCTTTGTTCTGGTTGTCCTGATGGCTGGGCGCCTCTGCACCCCCGAGCCTGTGAACCCTGGGTCCTCCCTGGGCTCTGCATCCCCTCCTTCAGGGCTTCAGCTCTCACTGAGTTCTCATTTCTCCCTCTTTCTGGGCCTCTGAGTCTCTAAGCCCCTCTTTCTAGTCTGTGTCTGTCTGAGTCTCAGTTTTTCTTTCTCTCTGGGTTCCTGTCCTCTTTTTGTCTCCCTCTCTCCCTCTCTCTGAGTCTCTGAACTTCTCTCTCTGAGTCTCTGTCTCTCCCTCTTTCAAGAGCTCTGTCCCTCGCTCTCTTGATGTCTCTCTATCTCTCTCTCTCCTTCTCTCTGGGTCTCTGGGCCCCCTCTCTCAAGGGGTCTCTGCCCCCCTCTCTCTCTTGAGTCTCTGCTCCCTTCCCAGTCTCCCCTCCACTTTGTCAGATACTGTGTCGCCCCTCCTCCCCCCGACACCGCAGCACCTGTTGTAGGCCTGGATTGGGGAAGCCTCACCCACACCTCTTCTCGCCCACAGCTAGACTGACTCCCGTCTTTCTAGAACCAGTAATTCATATCCAAAGGTTCTGCCTTCATGGGTCCCAGGCAGTCATCTGGGGGGGTTCAAGACTTCACCATAATCCAGGTTTCCCCTGAAGACCTAGAGGAGAGCATGACGGCTTTAAGTGTTACCAGAAGTCCAACCTTTTCCTCTACGATCCAGGGTTCCAGGTCTCCCCAACTCTTCGTTCTTCGGTCCGCTCCTCCCTCAGACCCCTGGTGTCTGGACTCTCGTTCATCACACCTGAAGTCCCCCCTGGGTGGATAAGTGAAGGCATGGTGAACCCTGTATCCTTCCAGACCCAGATGGGAGAACCCCGGGCTGGGGCCCCCCTGGACGATGGCAGCGGCTGGACGGGCAGCGAGGAGGGCAGTGAGGAGGGCACTGGCGGCAGCGAGGGAGCTGGGGGAGACGGGGGCCCAGATGCCGAGGGCGTGTGGAGCCCAGACATAGAACAGAGCTTCCAGGAGGCCCTGGCCATCTACCCGCCCTGTGGCCGGCGGAAGATCATCTTGTCCGATGAAGGCAAGATGTATGGTGAGTCTCTCTCCTTCCCTGGCTACAGCGGGAGGTGTGCTCCTAACCCCAAGGCCACACCTCTCTGACAGTGTAAGTCAACCAGCAGGTCCTGGGCAGCAAAGTGGGAATTCTCCAGCGCAGTTTACATCCTCAGAAACTCAGTGGAGTCTGAGCTAGAAACTGGTTCTGACTCAACAGCTTATGGGAATTTTGTTTGAGGTGCTTCTTTTTTTTTATTATTTTTATTTTATTATTTTTGTGTGAGTGTACCGTCAAATCAGATCTGACTGGTACAGGAGGAGATTGTCCCTCCTTCCCCGGCCGAGCTTCTGGTG